TCATTTCATTCATTCAATAAGGACCAAGCCTGGTTCTGTCCTCGGTGTTGTTCTAAGTCCTGGGGATCCAGGAAACAAAGCAGAAAAAATAGGTCCCAGCCAGCACTTGCGGAGTCAGGCAACAAATAATAAATGTTACAAACAAGTCAGGTAGTGTGTTAAAACACGCTACATGCATCAGAGGGACGGAACAGGGTGGCTGAGGCAGGTTCTCTGTGAAGTGTTTACTTTGTGAGTCAAACTTGAAAGAAAGTGAGGGGATTAGCCATGGGGAAACTTGGGGGAAGATTATGCCAGGCATAGGGAACAGCCAGCGCAAAGGTCCTGAGGTGGGAGAATGTCTGGCATGTTCAAGAGACAGCCAGGAGCACCATGAGGTCAGAGCAGCACGACCAAGGGGGAGAGTAATTGAGGATGAGGGCAGACAGGTGACTGGGGCACAGTGAGGGGCGCTGTAGGTTGTGTGGAGGCCTTTAGATGTTCTCAGGTGCAGGAGCGGCGTGGTCTGGCTTGGCTTGAACAGGATCCCTCTGCACACACTGCAAGGAGCAGGGTGGAAGTCAGGAGAACAAGAAGAGGGTGTGAGGTCATCGGGGCAGAGATGATGGTAGCCCTGGCTGGGGAGCGGTGGAGAGGACAGGGTGGTAAGAGTTTATACATACCAGCAAACCCCATACTTGTCTGTATTTCCATAACTAAATGGCCGGGTCAATGTGATCATCTACTCCTCTGTGCAGCGACTCAAATTCCCGACCTTAACTCATGTCTCTATGTCAGTCTATGATCTTTGATCGTCTTTGATCTCCAGCTGCCTCTGGCCACACTGTCCTAGGCGACCACTGCATCCTCGAACTCAAGGCATCGAGGACACCCCCTCATCTGCCACCTGTAGAGCCTCCACCACTCTCCCGGGTTTCTGTTGGTGGCCCCTCCACTCTGCCGCCCTCCAGCCCGAAGCCCAGGGCTGTATTGGGTATCTTAGTTCCCGTGCTGCTCACATGCATTCTTCAAACCAGATCTCACAGGCAATGTCAGGCTCTGCTGATTCTCCAACTGTTCCCTCTTTCCCATGCCCACAGCTACCTGTCCAGGCCCGTGGGCCTCACCCCTGAACACTGCAGCGACTGCTCACAGGGGAGCCTGGTGGCCAGGGGCACGGGCTCTTGAGCAGGATTCTCTGGGTTTGAATCCTGGTTCTGCCCCTGTGAACTTGGGGCTTTTTCCTCAATTTGCCATCTCAGTTTCTCTGTCAGTGAAATGGGCATAATTATACTTCAAATGTTATTATGAGGGTCAAGTGAGAGATTACATAGAAGATGCTTGGAGCACAGTCTTGTACGTGGTGAGAACTCAATAAATACTAGCTCTTTTAGCATTAATTTTTAAAGTTCATTATTTTGAGAGAGAGAGAGAACACAAGCAGGGGAGGAACAGAGAGAGAAGAGGGAGAGAGAATCCCAAGCAGGCTCCACACTGTCAGTGCAGAGCCCGATGCGGGACTCAAACTCACAAACCGTGAGATCATGACCTGAACCAAAATCAAGAGTCCGACACTTAACTGACTGAGCCACCCAGGCGCCCCAGCTCTCTTATTATTTATGCAATAAGTCTTTATTGAGTACTTATTGTATAGAGACCTCCATCTACTGGAAGATAATCGAACCCAGGAAGAAGAGTGCAGACCCCAGCAATTCCACTTTTGAATGTTGATCCAACAGAAGTGTCCATCAATATCCAGCAGAAGACACGGACTAGAATGACACCCTATTCATAATAGCCCCCATCCAGAAACTCCCCATCAGGCATAGAACGGGTAGAGAAAATGTAGTATATTCGTGCAAGGGAATAATACCATAGTGATGAGAAGGAATGCACGATTGTTACCTGCAACAACATGGATATTTAACAAGTATAAATGTAACGGGGAATGGCTGGGCCCAGCACCTCCAGCTGTGGGTTTCAGTGGGGGGTAGTCTGATTTTCACCTAACCTGTGCCCCCAAAATGACCTCCTCTTCTTTACAAACAAAATTCCCAGCCTTTGCCTCATATCTTTCCCTGACTTGCCAAAGAACCGTGAAGGCAGGACAATAATAATAGCCTGTATTTTGGGTGAACACAGAGGAATTACCGCGACCTAATATGGGAACTCATCAACACAGTGATCCTTTAGGGTGGGTACTGCTCTTTATGCCCATTTTACAGATGAAAAAACTAAAGCACTAAAAGGTCAAGTCAAGAGGATGATAGCTAAAATTGTTATTTCAGGGGCGCCTGGGTGGCTCAGTCGGTTAAGCGTCCGACTTCGACTCAGGTTGTGATCTCGCGGTCCGTGAGTTCAAGCCCCGTGTCGGGGTCTGTGCTGACCGCTCAGAGCCTGGAGCCTGTTTCAGATTCTGTGTCTCCCTCTCTCTGACCCTCCCCCATTCATGGTCTGTCTCTCTCTGTCTCAAAAATAAGTAAACATTAAAAAAAAATTAAAATTGTTATTTCAGTCTCAGAATACTCAACAACCCTCTGTGTAGAGCGCTGCTGTTCAGCCCACTTTAGAGAAAAGGACCCTGAGGCACAAAGAAGTTAGGTACCGCCTAAAATCACACCAGGAAACAGCAGAGCTGGGTTGGGCCGGATGGCCAAGCCCACTCTGTGCAGCTCTGTTCACAGCTGCTTGATAGTGAGGTCACAGGCCTTGTAGCCAGATGGCCCAGGGCCCAGCACCACAATCCTAGGACAACCCGTTACTCTGGATCTCAGTTTACCCATCTCTAAAATGGGAATATCGATAGCGCTTTCCTTCAGGGATGTCCCAAGGGCAACATGCAATTGTGGGTAAAGTGCCCGGAAGCAAGGGCCCCACATGCAGGAATCATTGGACACAGGTCTGTTGTCCTCATCCTCGCTCTCACTGTTTCTAGGGATATTCTCCGAATTTTCCCCGGCAATGTGTTCAGAGTTTACCCCTGTGGAGCCTGACCCACTGAAACTCTCATCCCGTAAGAGAGCATCAACTCAGCCTTGAGTCAGGTAAACTGGGCGTCCAAGCAGCTTTCTCATCTGTGAACCAGAGTTTTGTGAGGAATAAGTGGCCCAGACGCTGCCTGTGATTCTCTGGGGTTTTTGGAGGAGGTGTTACCTGAGTAAAGTGCTGGAGGCAGCTGTCCCCAGGGGCAGGTCACGTGCCTTCTGTGAGCTGGGGCCACCCTTCGCCTCCTCTGCAGAGTATCTCAGGGCCCTAGACTCCCAGGCTCCCTTGCCTCTCACCTTCCGGGGGAGGGGGTGATGTGGCCAATGGAAGGCACTAATGGAAACTGGGGGTAGGAGAAGTAGAAGCCGGGTCTGCCTCCCCATCTCCATCGCTTTTTGCTAGGTCTGCAAGGCTGCGTGTCCTTGGGGGCTCCTGCTCCCCGCAGCCGGCCCTGCTGTGATTCCACCTTCTGCTGGTTGATCGCGGCTTCTGGGCTCCGCTCTCCCTCAAACCCTGCATCCCAACAGCTGGTGCCAAGTGAAAGAAGCCATTCACAAAACAATACCTCCTGCGTGATGCTCTTTATGTTAAGAACAGGCAGCTAGCTATCCGTCATCTAAGGTGCTGGAACTCAGAACCGTGGTTGCCTTCAGGGGTGGAGGGGATGACAGGAAGGCACCGTAGGAAACTTCCTGAGACGATGGAAATGTTTTGTACCTTGATGGGGGTATTGATTACACAGGCGTATACATTTGTAAAGACTCGGTAAACCATATGTTAAGACCTGTGTGTTTCACTGTGTGTAAGCCATGCCTCAATAAAATTAGCTTAATGAAAAGAAATCCCTGTTTAAATACTCAGTGTTTTCCAATTTCCTGACTGGAGTGTGATGAGAACACAGTTTTCCTTTTTAAACACACAGATGTAGATCACAGAGGAGGAAAGAAAATTTATATGTAGGTTTAAAAAAGAAAAAAAAAACAATTGGGGCGCCTGGGTGGCGCAGTTGGTTAAGCGTCCGACTTCAGCCAGGTCATGATCTCGCGGTCTGGGAGTTCGAGCCCCGCGTCAGGCTCTGGGCTGATGGCTCAGAGCCTGGAGCCTGTTTCCGATTCTGTGTCTCCCTCTCTCTCTGCCCCTCCCCCGTTCATGCTCTATCTCTCTCTGTCCCAAAAATAAATAAATGTTGAAAAAAATAATAATAAATAAAAAATAAAAAAAAAAAACAATAAAACATGAGACTTCAAACAATTGCACACTTGGGTGGGTTTATTTCAGGCCGTGTTCCCCAGTCGCTGGGGGCAAGCCTTCATTTTCCCCCTGATTTTCTCTGGTCTTAAATGTTGCAAAGCACCAAGCTCTATATAAAGTGTCTAGCTCAGTGCCTGGCACGTTGCAGGTGTGCGCGAAAGGTTCATTTTTATTAACACGAGTTGGTTTTAACGGATCCCTTTCAGGCCTGTTTTCTGACTTTCTTCAAGACAGTGTGATTTCACCTTGTGATTTTCACAAAGGATGCAGCCTCTGCATGCTGCCCTTGGATGGGGAGCGCTTTCTCAGACAGCATAAGCTTGACCTACAAGCTCTTGCCTAGGCATGTACCTGGGACGTTTTTATGTCAACTCCAGGAAAGGGAGCAAGAGATTCAGAATATCTGTGCGCCCCTCTTCACCACACCCCTGGGAAAATAGCCAGTCCAGCCCAGCACCTGCCTTGGCTAATGATTAAGGGACAGCTGGTTGCCTTATCTGCTGGAAAGCTTGCCCATGTGTGTGTTTGATAAAGGCTGTGTGGAGGCGGGTAATGGACCAGAAGACCCTGGAAACCTTGGCCAGCCCCCTAGGCTGTGAGGTAGAGGAAGGGAGACTGGGACACGCAACCCAGCTCTATCTCAGGGTCCAGATGGACCAGACGGCTTGTGAACATTCTTGTCCTCCAGGGCCTGCATGGTGTTGCCCCAGTCAAGGGTGTGGGCCCAGGCACGGGGCTGCCTGCTGGATTAGGGTGGGCACCGAACCCCCGTTCCCAGCTCTGCTCTAAAAGGCACTGTTCCGTGGGCTGCGGCCCCTGGCAGGTGGACAGGGCCTAGTCAGGCACAGGTGGTGCTGGGTCTCCAGTCGGCAGAGGCGGTTCTGGTTGGACACCCGGGTGGCCACGCCCAGCCCGCAGGTGGTTGAGCAGGGGCCCCAGGCCGTGCTCCATTCTGGGCAGGGGATGCCAGGGGGTGGGGGAGCGACAAGGCCAGAAAACTGGGGTCCTGGGAGGGAGGAAGAAAAAGAGGTCAGCACTGCGAGGTCAGGGCTTGGCGGCTAAGTCAACCCAACTGCTAGCGGTGCCCTCTTGGTCGCGTTGCTTAACCTCTCTGGACCTCGGTCTCTTCCCATGTAAATTTTCTACTGGTCGATTGTTAGGGCTGAATAAAATAATGGAGGGGAGGTGCTTAGCACAGTACTCCTACTTGTAAGCACCTCGTATGTGTGGGTTACTAGGCAGCTGGGATGGTGCCGGCCGGGACGGTCCCCCAGGAAGTGGCACGTTTCTCATTTCTGCACCCCTCCCCCCACGGCCTCTTACAGGAAGGAGATTGTGTGGGTAGTGGTACCGTGACCCGGCCGCAAAGATGCTAGAGGTTCTGAGGCTGTGCCCGGAACAAGACGGGGGGTTCACCACCGTCTAGGTTTTCCTCCTCTCACATCCGATTCTGCTCTGATGTTTTGGTGTCCTTTCTTCTGGTCCTTTTTAACCAACTGGTTCTCAACTGGGGGTGATTTTGCTCCCCCCCCCCCGGGACATTTGGCAATGTCCAGAGACCTTTTGACGGTCACACTGGGAGTGGGGGTACTGGACTCTAGCCGGGATGCTGCTAAGCATCCTATCAGCTCCCACGCGACAGAGGGTTACCGGGCCCACGTGTCACTAGTGCCAAAGTTGAGAAACCCCGCGTGATATGACTTGTGTGCCGTCTGTATGCACACGCACATGTACTCACATACCGGAGGCCAAATTGCATAGACAGTGCCCTCTCCTGCTTTTTACTCACAAGATGAACTCGCTGGCATCCTGCTGTGCGTTGAAGCGGATGTGCCCCGTTCCGTCATGGGGATAACTACAGCCACCACGGACGGAGTGCTATGTTCCAGGCACTGCCTGACTACTTTCCTTGTGTTTACTCGCCCAGTCTCGCAACAACTCTGCAAGGTGGATGCCCTTATTCTCACTTTGGAACAGTTGGAGGCACTGAGGCCCGGAGAAGTTAAGCAACTTTCTCAGAGTCCCACCGCTAGAAGTAGTGAAGCCGGGCTTAGAACCCCGGGCAGACTCCATGCTGAACCCACCATGCTCTACTCCCGATATGGCCCATCGCCAATGGACCCATGCCTTCTTTCCAGCTGCCTTTCTCTAGAAAAATCACATTCATATGATAATCATAATAACTCAGTGATGTAGCAAGAACCAAATCTCTAAAGAGTTTATAGCATGAGGTAACTGTCTTTCCTCCACCTCTGCCCCTAAGTCCACATCCCAGAGGCAACCACCTTGCCTGATTCAGTTTTGAGTTCCTCTTTGGGTACATCCAAATAATTACATATTAATACTAGTATATAATATTTAAATTATATAAATATATTATAATGCGTATTAGTATATTAGAATTATAATAGTAGTATGTCGTAATAGTACTTCCGCTATGAAATGCGAGCCTTTGGCTCAAGGATCCTAGCCCTCCTTTCCCTTCTCCACTCTGCCACTAATTTTCATTTTTCATTATTTATGACTTAAAATTATATTACTTCTTGTTTTGCCAGTTTCAAAGAGGTCTTGTGACTCCCCACTCTGCTCACCTAGTCTCCTCAGCCCGCACCCCCTCCCGGGTCCTGTCAGGGAAACCTGGGCTTTGACCTGTCCAGTCTCCTGGCTCCCGAGAAGCCCCGCCCTCGCCCCGCCCCCCTCCCCGGTGGCCCTGCCCCTCCCTGGCTTTGACCAGTCCAGTGTCCTGGCTCCTGAGAAGCCCCGCCCTCGCCCCGCCCCCCCTGCTCCTGCCCTGGCCTGGCCAACTCCCTGCACTCCCACTCTTTACTGGAGGCTGGACCCCCAGCCCCCCTCCCTGGTCGCAAACCCACTCAGGGCAGCACTTGCCCGGGACCTCAACCCTCCTGGGATACGGGCAGTCCCAGCTGGGCAGCCGGACGTCCTCACTGCACAGTGGCACACAGGTGAAGCCACCATCCTCACAGTGGCAGCGAACCCTGCAGTGGGGCTGGAAGGTCTCGGCACACGCGCGTCGCTCAATTCTACAGTTCACATCCTTTCCCCTGCAGAGGAGAAACCACACCCCCATCCGTGACCCCCAACTTTTCCCTGCGCAAGCCTGTGCCAGCCACATCCTCCACGTGGTCTCTCTGCAGAGCTGGCCCAGATCCTGCTGGGGAGCGGTGCCCTTACAGGGTCAGGACACTGGGCCAAAGGGCTCCAGCCCATCGTATGCACCCCGTCCCCACTGCCAGCCTGCCCTGGAGCCAGCAGGAACACAGCGTGACACACTGCATCCTGACACAAGGGATGGGGAGACGCTGGCCTGGTCGGAGCCCCACTCTGCTTTATTAGCTCTGGACCTTGGCCAAGCGACTTCACTTCTTGCCTCAGTTTCCTCACCTGCAAAGTGGGTTATAATGATACTTATTTCACAGGGTTGTGGTATAGACAAAATGAAATGATATATGTAATGAATCCAACATAAAAGAGATCTTCGATAGATCCTAGCTGCTCTGTTGTTACTATGAATATAAGTACTATATATTAATAATATATAACATAGGTACACAATGAGGGTTTCTGCAACAAAATTTCATTGTACATCTGCTGTGTGGTAGTCGTCCCTATTAGGCCAGGGCTTAACTTGCTGGCTGTGTGACTTTGGATAAGTTACTTGACTTCTCTGAGTCCCCTTAACAATAGCATTGATGAGAACAGCTCAGTACCTTCAGTTACACAAGATAATATGTACAAAACATCTGGCACAGTGCTAGGCATATAGTAGGTGTTCAAGAAACACTCTCTGAACAGAGCCCTCAAGATGTGGACGCTATCCCCACTTCCTCCACTGGAAAAGCACTGCTTGAGGGCTGGGGCTCGGAGTGCTCCTGCCGGCACACCCCCATCCCCCAGGCCGGCTCAGAGCATGGATGGGACACACAGACCCTGGGGAAATGCCCTTTGCAATGCCTGGTGCAAAGCCCAGCACGTGAGAGACACTGATAAAAGAGTTCCGACTTCTTATAAATTCCAGAGATATGTAGTGTGCCCCTCCTGTGTGCCATCCACTGGGCTCCTAGACAGGACTAAGACACAGTCCTTGCCGTGAGGGATTGATGCCCAGGCAAGGGACAGATGTCACTGTCTCCAAGACAGAGTGAAGAGCCGTGGAGAGGTGCGTGTGAGCCGCCCGGGAAGTGCAGAGAGCTAGGAGGGGTCAGGAGGTTCTGGGGACGGATTTGCTGGAAGGCAGATTTTCCCAGGATTTCAGAGAGAAACCTCTAGCGAGCCTATACACACGCAGGAATTTGGGAACCACACAGATGTGGAGGGCAGTCCCTGTTCCCACTTGCTAGCTGTGGAAACTGAGCCACGATACCCGCTCACGGGGCCACCAAGGATTGAAGGAGCCAGTGTACTTACAGGATTTCGCCCCGAGTCTGGAACATGGCAGATGAGTGGGAGCGGGTGATGCCTGTTCCTCTGAGAGGCACAGGCAGGCACTCGCGGTCTCCCCACTCCTTCCAGGCCGCAGCCCTTTGGTTCCAAATCCCTGGCCTTCTGGCCTGGATCATGTGGCCGCTGGTTTCCTGGAAACTGTAGGGGGCAGCTGGGCCTTAATCTGCACCCTAAGCCTGGCCGAGCCTGGGTCTCCCACCAGACTCCTGATGTCACAGCCCTGGGGCCTCCTGGTCGCTGGGATGACTGGTAAACAGAGGGATTGTTTAGGAAAGTCAGCTGGAGTGGTGATAATTTTAGCAAGGTTTCCTGGCACCCCTCCTGGGTCCTACAGCTCAGGCTGGTTGGGAGTGGGAGCAATGGTCCCTGGGCAGTCACTCCCTACGCTGGGGTCTGCGTGCACCCTTGTGTGTGGTCCCAAACACATGAGGTACCTCCAAACTTACTCATCCTTGGATCCCCACCCCCGACATACACATATAGTTGCCTCTACCTGGCCCTTCCAATACCTTCTTGTCCAGCAACCTCCCTCAAATAACTTTAGAGGGGCTCCTCTAAAGGGGCTCCTGGGTGGCTCAGTCAGTTAAGCGGCCGACTCTTGATTTTGGCTCAGATCATGATCTCATGGTTTGTGAGATGGAGCCCAGCATGGAGCCTGCTTGGGATTCTCTCCCCCTTGCTCTCTGCCCTTTCCCCCTTCCATCCCCCCACCCCTCTCATGCTCTTTCTCTCTAAATAAATAAACAAACAACAAGCAAACATTAAAAAATTAAAAAAAGAAACTTGAGAGCCCAGTCTTGTTATCTGGTGATTTCTACATCCTTCTTTCCCTCTGAGGGTCCCTTACAGGAGAGGGAACGACAGGGTATTTGTTTTTTGTTTGTTTGTTTGTTTGTTTACCTTTAGCCACTTGCACACTGTGTGACCATAGGCAGGTGATTTAACCTCTCTGACCCCCACTTCCTTCATCTGCAAAATAAATTTAATAATAGGACCTTCCTCATTATTAAGGGTAAAGTGAAATCATGTGTGTAAAGGGCTTGTTCACAGGACATGCTCAATAAATGCCTGTTCCTGTGCCTCTTCCTGCTAGCTTCTCTAGAACTCCTACTATCATTCATTCATTCATTCATTCATTCAACACTTATTTATTGGGTACCTACTATGCATCAGGAACTGTTCTGGGTACTTGTGGTATAGCAATGACTAAAACAGGCAAACATCCTGCCCTCATTGGAGCTTTCGCCCTAGCAGAAATAAGCACAATAAGCAAGTAGAGTTTATGATGTCAGATGGTGATTAGAGCCAGAAAAATAATGGAGGGAAGGGTTTTAAGAGAGGGGTGTTGAAAATGGTGATCGCGGAAGGCCTCACCAAGAGGGTGATATTTGAGTAAAGATGTGAAGGAGGTATAGGAACTTGCCATGCATGTATCTGGGGGAAAGAATGCTGGTAGACAAGCAGCCAGTGCAAAGGCCCTGAGGTAGGAGCCTCCCTGGGATATTTAAGGAACAAAATAGGCCAGTGTGGCTGAAGCAGAGAGTGGGAGGGAGAGAGGGGGTTCGATGGGGTCAGAGAGAAAGTAGGAGCAGGACCCTGTGGGGCCTTGTAGCTACCAGGAGGACTTTGGCTTGTATTCGGAGGTGGTAGGAAGCTCTTGGAGGCCTTGAGGCCGAGGATGGATGTGGTCTGATGTATGTATGGAAAGGGCCCTGTGGCTGCTGTGTTGGAAACAGGCGAAAGGCAAGGAGAGAAGCAGGGAGACAGTTATGCAGCCACCGCAACATCCATCACGTGATGATGGGGCTCAGACCAGGCTCGTAGCAGGGGCTGGACTGGGAACGGAAGGTTCTAGAAATATCTTAAAGACTTTGCTTGTGGGAAGTATGTGGGATGTGCAAAAATGAGAGAGGTCAAGAATGACTGTAAAGTTTGAAACTCAAGCCACAGGAAGGGTGGGGATGCCCTTGGCTGAGTGCGGAGGCTGCACGCTTGGAGTATGAGGGATCAGAGGCTTACGATGGACACGCACACAGACTGGAGTTGGCCGTCAGAGGTCTGTCCAACAGGAACTGACAGAAGAGGTTTTGGGCAGCACATTCCCTCCAGAGCTAAGACCTAGACCCAGCCTCTGTGAGGTCTTAGCTGGCTCTGACTCATCTGTGGGGTTCACCAGCCTCCAGATTTGGTTCATGAACACCCATTATGTTGCCTGACCAGCACTGGGAGTTGTAGGAAGAAGCAAAGACTAACTACATTTTTGACCTCCAGTTGTTTGAAGTCTGAATCAAGACAGACTAGGAAAAGCCCTTTAATAAACTTAGTGACAATAACAGCCAATGTGTACTAATCATATGCTGAGTGTCAGGCAGAAGAGTGATGGAAAGGAGGATTGTGGAGCCAGCTCCCTGAGTTCAAATCCCAGCCCAGCTCCTTATGAGCTGTGTGACCCTGGGCAAGTTGCCTAACCTCTCTGTGCCTCTTTTTGTTTTTTCCCATTTATAAAATGCGAATGACATCAGGACCAACCTCATAAGGTTGTTTTGGTTTTTTTAGTTTTTTTAACGTTTATTTATTTTTGAGACAGATAGAGACAGAATGGAACGGGGAGGGCCAGAGAGTAGGAGACACAGAATCTGAACAGTCTCCGGCTCTGAGCGCACAGAGCCCGACAAGGCTCGAATCCTCACGACCGCGAAAGATCACGACCTGAGCTGGAGTCGGACGCTTAGCCGACTGAGCCACCCAGGCGCCCCACGGTTGTTGTGAGATTAAATGAGACAGTATTTGTGAAACCCTTAGCGCCTCGCACGCGGTAAGTGCCATGCAAGTGTTCAACAAATAAAGCTTTGCCGTGTGCTTTACATGTGTCCTGGCTAATTAAAACAATGGCCTGGTGAGCTAAATGTTACTTCTCTCATTTTTCCCTTTAGCAACCATCTATGAGTTTATAAAACAAATCACTACTTCCTCATGATTATACTCCCCTGATCATAAAAAAACATTTAACGAGGATTTAGTGTTGATAACCTTATGTCTATTAGTCTTGTTGTTATCAGTCTTTAAGCCTTGTTTTTTTCGATAAGTGGATTCATTGTCAATGATTCATGAGCCCCTCTCTTGTTCTTATTTTCTTAAAATGACACATGCAAATAGATGAAAGAGGTAGATGGCTCTACAAGACTCATTAAAAAAAAAAAAAGAAAAAAGAGAACACTGTCACATTTTGCTGCTTCTCTAAGGCAGTGGTCCTCAAATAGAGATGATTTTGCTTCCCCAGGGCATGCTTGGCAATGTCTGAGACAGATTGTCATGACCTGAGTCATGCTACTGGCATCCAGTGAGTAGAGACCAGGGATGCTGCTAAAAGTCCTACTGTGTGTAGGACAGCCCCCTACAAAGAATTATAACAATTATCTGGCCCCAAAGACTAAAGTTGAGAAACCCTGATCTAAAGTGCCAGAAGGCACCAAGGCCTAAAATGCTGAGAGCTATAACATGCTCAAGGTCACTAGTAAATGGCAGACTCAGGACTCAAACGATAGCCCAAGGCTCCCAATCCAGGAGGAAGACAGAACAAAACGTTGCTTTAGAATCTGTGTGATCTGGTCCCAAGCTGTGTAAGAGTAATCATGCCCATTACTGTTACTAAGGCTCAGTTTGCTCATCTATAAAGTGGGTCTGAAAGTACTTACCACATAGGATCGTTGTGAGGATTATGTGGCAAGTTTCAGCACACTGCCTGAGACGTATTATGCCCTAAATAAGCAGCAATGCTTTTATTTTCCCAAAAAGGTGTGAAGGTCCCAAGAAAGGATAGTAACATCTGGTTTGAATAATCTGGGAGGACATCCAGGGGAGGAGTGTTTGAGCTCGCCTTTGACAGTGGGTTGTGATTTGGACAGGTAGGAATGGGGGGAGGCTGCTCAGGTGGAGGGCATGGTTAGATCAAAGACAAGGTTGGGGGGCGGGCAGAGGGAGGGCCCAGGGAACCGCGGGTCACCGGGTTTGGCTGGAATGGATGGTGCACCTGATGTAAGGAGGTAGAGAGAGAAGAGCTTCTCTTTGACTCAGGTCCCCTCAGCCTTGACCCTCCCAAATACATCCACCGTCAGTCCCGCAAACCTGCTTACAGAGGCACACGGCCCCTCGGCCACCAGGGCCCGCCCTGGGCTGGCAGATCAGGCCCTGGCTGGGGTCGCAGACGTGGAGATGGTCGCAGGGCTCCCCCAGCCGCCGTGCACATACCCGGCAACAGTTGCAGCCGTCCAGCACTAGGGGCGCCCCCGGTGGGCATCGGGGTGGCGGCCAGGGGCAGACACATGGTGTTGGACACAGCTGGGCACATACCTGCAGAGACAGAGATGTCACTCAGCCATGGCCATTCAAGGGGGGCAGTGAGAGATCCACACTTTGGCCCCAGGGTCACACAGACCTGGCCTTGAACCTCGTGACACTCCTCCCTAAGAGACAGTTGGTATTGTGGTCATGAGCTAGAACTTTGGACTAGAACTCCAGTCCCGACTCTGCCTCTTATTAGCTGAGTGACCTTGGGCAAGTTACGTAAGCTCTCTTAGCCTCAGTTTCCCTATCTGTAAAAAGGGGGCAATAGCAGTGTTTAGCTCAGAGGATTGTTTTGAAGAGTACATAAAGTGATGCATGTTAAACCCTGAGCAGGCAGCCAGGCATGGGGTAGGTGCTCAGTGCATTTAGCAAATGATGATCACTGTTGGGAATGACAAGGAAGGGCTGAGGCCCCGCCCTTTAGACACTATAGTAAGGCAAACGCCACAAAACAAAGGATTAAAATGACAGGGCACTGGGGCGCCTGGGTGGCTCAGTCGGTTGAGAGTCTGACTTCGGCTCAGGTCATGATCTCGCGGTTCATGAGTTCGAGCACCGTGTCTGGCTCTGTGCTGACAGCTCAGAGCCTGGAGCCTGCTTCAGATTCTGTGTCCCCCTCTCTCTCTAGCCCTCCCCTGCTCATGCTCTCTCTCTCTCTCTCTGTTAAAAATAAACATTAAAAAAATTTTTTAATAAAAAATAAAATAACAGGGCACTATATGATTTCTAGCACAGATTGCAAATCTTTATCTCGACAGCTGAATAAATCAAACAGTATCATAGATGTTTTTGATTGTTGGAATAACCCAGAATATATTTCTGGATACTTATCAAATCAGCCAGGAAACTTGGGAAAATACTGAACCCCAGACCTCCCCTGGGACTTACCAAATAGAACCTCCAGAGGCAGGGCCCCGGAATCTATATTTGTACCAGGCTGCCAGGGGCTTCTGATGCACAGCTAGGATTTTGGCACCTCTGCTCCAGTTCTAACCCCCAGCCCCTGGCCATGGAGAGATGGGGACCCTCGGCTCCAGAGAGAACAAGGGTCTTGCCAAAAGTCACAGTGTGTTAGCCACAGAGCTGGGAGCCTACTTCCTCCTTAAGGATGCTATAGTCGGGAAAAGCCTGAGCCAGGGACCACCCCCCCCCCCCCAGGTGGGTATCGACCCAAGTGTCCTGGCTGTTTCTTCCCACTCAGGACACAGAAACAACCAAACCAGAAACCGGATGCCATGGTCTCCCCATATGTCCATTTGGAGGTGGGGACCAAGAGGCAGGCGTAACTCAAGATGTTCCCAGTGGCCCCCTCCGTGAGGGACCAATCTTTAGTTCAGTAGGATCCTTGGAGGACCAGAGGGTTTTACCTGGAGAATGGAAGCCTTACAGTTTACAAAGATCAAACTAATAACCTCCTATCTTTGGTGTGGCCCCAAAGCAGGCAATGACCTCTTTGTCCTAATCCCTACTTTGCCCCAACCCTACCACCCTCCAGTCCTGCAAACCTGCCTTCAGTGGCCTGCAGCTCACACCCTGGCCACCAGGGGCCGCCCCAAACTGGCCAACCAGCCTTGGGTGGGAGGGGGTGTCACAGACCAGGAGGTACTCCCAGGTTCCAGGCTAGGACAGCACTGGTAACAGGTTCAAGCGTGGAGCCTCACAGGGGAGAGAGTTCCCACCTCTGCAGGAATTCCAAGCAGGAGACTGGGTGATACCAAAGAGATTCTAGAGAAGATGGCCTAGGCTCGCTCCTCAAAGCGTGGTCTGGACCAGCAGCAGGAGCAGCGTCACCCGGAAGTCTGTTGCAGTATCTGGGGCCCCACTTTATGAGTCTGACTCTGCCTTTTAACAAACCTAGAAATTATTCTCATGGAATTGACCCAGCTAGCAATCAGCCGGACTCTGGGGTTCCCTTTCAAACCAGAGGGTGGGCTCCCTCGGTGAGTGGGAAGTGGGGACTCTGACCAGAACTGGCTCTCGGGTCCCTCCCACCTGAAAGCTGGGGTGCCAGGCCACAGACCGTCTGGCTTGCACCCAGGTTCCCACTTTGGCTCTCCATGAGCAAGCGTGGCCAGGGCCAGATGTGCAGGTCCTGATATGCAGGAGGGGCCGCTAATAATATCAGTGATTATGGCTAACAGTTACCACGGGCAGCCGTAATGTGTCATCTGATTTAGCCCTGCGAGGTGAGGTGCCAGCACTGTGCCCACTGTAGAAGCTCAAAACAGTGTGGCCACGTCACCAGTAAGAGGCAGAGCCAGGACCGGAATCTGGGTTCACGTGAATCCAAGGCCCAGGTCGTAATTATCACACCTACCTTGGGGAGATGTTTGCCAGCTTAGCCTCTGCCTCAGTTTACCCATTTGTTCAGGACGGTCAGCGACAGGTCAAGGGAGCACACCAAGGGGAGGTAGGCCCTCTCTGGTCTCCCTCTATCTCCATGCCCTTCCCAACCACCCCCTGCACACATGGTTTTTCTAGACCCTTGCTGCGGTCACCAAGGGGGAAGAGCCCCGGACACAGAATATTCTAGGAAGAGTTGAAATCCAAGTTCTACCACTGACTGGCTGTGTGACTTTCACCACCACGCCGCTGAACCGCTTTGTCGGGGAGGGAGCTGTTTCCTTCTCAGTAAGACAGGGTAGAGACCACCTATCTTGAAATTGTGACAGGGATAAAAGGTCACGGCTAGCTCTCGATCACCGTGACTCTGTCTGTTTCCAGGTCTCTGCCACCTGCCCCTGTTCACAGGCCTGAGCCCAGGAGCCCACAGCCCGCCGGAAGGCTCGGGATTCTCGTTCTGAGGATTGTTGTAGCTTTCCATGTTCGTGATGACCAGGTCCCTGAGTCCTGTGCAGGATGCTGCCTGGCTCCCTGGGACCAGGAAGAATGGAGGTGAGGACAGTGAGCCCAGGATGGCTTCATTTTGGTCTTTTATATAAGCCTGGGCCCAGAACCCCGAGCCCCCAAGCCACCCACCTAAGCATGATGTTCTGCCGGGCACCTTCGGGAGAACAAACAGTGGGACTGGGATGCTGGCAGAGTTCTGGGCCTTGCCCCACCGCTGCTCAGGACCCAGGAGAGCAAAACTTCTGCTGTGCTCCTCAGCAGAGCATGAAAGCCCAGTGAGATCATGGCTCGCGGTGGGGCCAATCTCCAAGGCATTTGCTGAGGGAATCACAGGGATCAGCAGCTGTGGCCTCGGTCCAGGTAGGGGAGAGGCCCAGGCAGGAGAGGCACAAGTAGAAGCTCCCCTTCCCCACCCTCCACACACTCAAGCCTATCCTGGGCTCCACTTCCTCTATTGCTCTGATGTTTCTTTGCTGTGTGATGTTAGTCAAGTTGCTTGCCCTCTCTGAGTCCTGCTTGACTAAAAACAGGGGATAATAAATCCTTACGAGGTTGTTGGATACGTTACGCAAGGTAGATGTTTCACAGACCTTCTGAAAAAATGTCCCATAAGAGAAGATCATCATTCCACAAGGTGTCTCCCTGTCCCCTTTCAGCCAGGTCTGCAGGTCACTAGGTCACTCACTGCCAACAGCATTAACGCCCTTGCAGCGTGAACTTTTCCGATCAGTTAGACACCAACATCCTTTCAAACCCTGGCTCACAATCAGGCAAAGCAGGGTGTATGTGGCATCTCCTTATTTGTAATGAGGACGCCCACTTCAGCTTTGTAGGGCTCTGGGGACTGCTAATAGTCACGACCCTCTGCTTCTGAACACCTGCCACGTTCCGGGTGCTGCGCTGAGTACTTTTGATGAATTACCATAAATGATCTTCACAAAAGCCTCATGATCATTATGCCCATTTATCCAAGGAAGCAGCTGAGGCTCGGAGAGGAGAAGGGACTTGCCTGAGATCACACAGCAGAGCTGGCCAGGGGCAACTCTCTGGGCACCAGGGAGGGAAGCCCGGCTGTGCCCAACATAGAAGACCTGCAGGAATTCTTTTAGGGGGTCCTTGGCAGTGATTTCACACCTCCCCAACACACCAAGGAAGTCAGCAGGATGTTTTGGGGCCCAGGGCCCCCTTACCTTTGAGAGGAGGCAGAGGAGGGAGAAGGCCAGAAGGTGGGTCTGTAGTGTGACTCTCATGTCACTGTGTCCCCCACGGAGCCGGCTTTCAGCCTGGGAGGCAGGACCTGTGAGTCTTTATGTTCCGGCAGCTGTGAGGTCACTGCCAGGCACACAGGCTCACACACACACACAGATGCACACGCACACACAGATGCACACGCACGCTGGTCTCTGCATTCCTGCTCCTCTCCCCATCCTCATGCTCCCACTGATGAGCCCATTTACCTGAAGATGAGATGGCGAGGCCACCAAGAAGGTGCCTACCAGTGTGAGCGTGTGTGCGTGTGTGCGTGCGTGCGTGCGCACGCCCGTGTGTGAAAGCCAGAGCCAATGCCAGTGCCAGGAGCCTGTGACAGGCTGGCAGGGGCCTCTCTGGCTCCTCCCAGCCCAGGAAGGGAAGGGGACCTTCCTGGGCTGCTGCTCTTGCTGATGAGCCCTGGCCCGACCCCTGCCCGCCTCCCTGGGGGCTGTGGATCCAGAAAGAGCTCAGCAGATACCCCCTTTGCCGCGCCGACCCAAATCCTCTGAAGCCCCGTGGCCCGGACTCTGGGCAGTTTCAGCTGGGCCTGTGGTTTCTGGCAGGAAGATTGGCGGCCATCCAGAGGCGGGTGTGACCCAGAGCAAAACTTCCCTGGGCGGCCTGTTTGCTTTTGGCAACAAGGGGCCTCCCCAATGCCTGCTTCCCCGGGCTCCGGGAGGTGGCCCACAGTGGGTGAGCCCCGTGCAGGCTGGACCTATTGTGTGCCGGTGCTTGCCGGGCCCCTGCCAGATGATCTAGAAGAACCGAATCCATTTCGTTTAATTCAGCCATCTCTGAGGCCCCCTCTGTAGGAGCTGGAGACACAAGAGTGACCTTGGGACAAAGCCCAGAGTGGGTGACGACAGAGGGAAAACAGGTGGAATTTCTGGGCCTACTGAGGAGGGGTCCTTGTTCAGACCGAAGGGAAGGGGTGGCTGCCTGGGGGAGGCGCCTTCACAGAGAACCACAGGAAAAGGAGGTGTGAGGAGAATGTTGCAGGCAGAGGCAAACACAGCAGGAGTGAGCATGATAACATGCCTACTCTGGGAGCCAAAGGTGTGGCCGGAGCTGGCGGAGGTGGGGAGGGGTGTTCTACATGGGGAGCAGGACACCGAATTCATACCGCCGGTGTCTGGGGGCATCTCCAACGATCCAGCCACCGGGGCTGCCGGACGTGGGCAAGTGCTTGGGTTGTGGCATTTGGCAAAGATAATTACCAGTGGTGTCAAGGGGGGCTGGGGAGGGCTTTGGCCCCCATAATCTCCACCAGTACCCCAAAACTTGAAGTGAAGGCGCTGGGTTCCAGAATGGGCGGTTGGTGAGGAAGAAGGGTGAGCTGATATAGGGGTCAGACTGAGTGGATTTCCTAGGGGGAAACGCCCTCCCAGCTGCCGTCCTGGGGAAGGAGGCGATGGGGAGGGGAGATAAAGGTTGAAATGTACGACCCCGGCTCCGTCTCTGTGGGTTCTGGCTGGAGGGGGAGGGCAGGGGGTCCCTTGGCCTGCAGGGAAGGGGATGCGGTCTTCGTTTATAAATGCTTCTATTTCGGTCAGAGGCATGCCTAGGGGACTCTACACACGGGGCGGATCCTTGCTGAGCACCCCCTCCTTCGCACGACAGAATTATTTTCCATAATAATCATAAAATGAAACAAATACTTTTCATGTATGACCTAAGGTTTGCACTTACCAAACAAAAACACCACCCTCCACAGCTCACACTGTGTCACAGTTTTAATGTTTATTTATTTTTGAGAGAGAGAGAGAGAGACAGACAGAATGTGGGCAGGGGAGGAGTAGAGAGAGAGGGAGACAGAACCTGAAGCAGGCTCCAGGCTCTGAGCTGTCAGCACAGAGCCCAGCGCAGGGCTCAAACTCATGGACCCTGAGATCATGACATGAGCTGAAGTCAGATGTTTAACCGACTGAACCACCCAGGCACCCCTCACCGTTTTAAATTTTTAGCACAGACCCAAATTCCAAGGAGTCACATAGAATGAGAGAATTGACAGACCTCTATCTCCGTCTTCACTGTCACTCAGCATCTACTGATGCTTTTCATCTACTGTCGGGGTGCAGAACTGTCACCCCCAGGGTTAGAGACAGGTGCTGCACAAGATTCCAAGCTGTCAGGCACTTCTGCTCTCGGTGAACGTGTGCTCCTGGGCTCATGTGTACTGGGCAACTGTCTTCCTAGACTTCTCCAAGTTCACTTCCATGTAGGTTTATTAAAGGATAAGAAATTAAAATGTGCTAATTCGAAGCTTACCTATGCATTATTAAAATTCAACAGCTACGGCATCAATTGTTTAGAACTTGGACCAAAAAAAAGATATTTTCAGGACAAAGAACTTTATCATGAATTTATGATTGATGTGATTTATATTTATATACTGGCATGATTTAGATTTATATACGGACTTCTCATCAATTTTATCTTTTTTTAATGTTTATTTTATTTATTTTGAGAGAGAGAGAGAGAGAGAGAGCACCCAAGTGTGGGGAGGGGCAGAAAGAGGGAGAGAGAGAATCCCAGGCAGGCTCTGCCCTGTCAGCACAGAGTCTGATTTGGGGCTTGATCTCACGAACCATGAGATCGGGATCTGAGCCGAAATCACGAGTTGAACACAACCACCTGAGCCACCCAGGTGCCCCTCATCAATTTTACCTTTAAATTCTCGATGTGCCCCTCTTATTGCCTACACCCAGGGAAGACCACTCCCATGCCCTGTCTTTGCTGAGACCACCGGTTTTAACAACAATGAAAGAAAAGGGCCCTCAGAGGGAGCCAGCCCGGTGCTAAGTATTTTTTTTTTTTTTT